GGGGGGGGGGGGAAGGGGACATATAAGGACAACCTTTACCCAAGGGAGCTCAGTATCAGAGTTCTCAGCCCTGATGATGCAAACTGCAACGTTTGCGAAACGTCGGCACATCGCTGATTCAAGACACGGCTCCATTCTGGAAGCTATACCTAGACATAGTAATGATTATATATATTATGGATATGCAAAAAGTAATCATATTGTAATCATATTTGTTTTATTAATAGTAACTAAACATTATATAGCATATTCAATAAGATTATCTTCCATTGTTAGTCATTTTTTAGATAATTGCTTATTTTTATGTCATTGATTATATTAACTTTTTTAAGTCAATGTAATCATCAACGATCCAACAAACTTTTGCAAGTCATTAATAGTGCAGTGATTTTCCAATGAATATTTAGAGAAGAATATGTAGATTGGTGCATATTTAAAGTTTTTACAACCTAATATTTTGGAAAAAATACAAATCTTTGATTTAAGTGAGATTTTGCTAACAGTATGACTGAATGTGTAAAAAATGGACTGCCCCATGAATACATTTTTTATTTTTAATCAGGATTTTTATTTTTAATTACATTTTATCACACTTTTATTGTTCTTCATATTAAGGCTTATTTTATGGCTGTGTTTCATAAAGATTGGCTTGATACAAAAAAATAATGTTTATTTTGTATATTTTTTTCATGAGGACACTGGTGAAAATTTTTTAATGAAAATTTCTTAATTTTGTTGAAGTTTTCTAAAAAATACTCAAAAAATCAAGAAATTGGAACACTCAGAAAAACTCAGAGAAAGTCATATTTCATAAAAATGAAAAAAGATTGAAAATCTTTTAATTTCTCTAAAAATTTCTAAATTTTTCAGAAATTCTTTTTTTTTTTTTCAGAAAAATGCAGAAAAAGTGAGAAAATTGGTTGCACTTCATAGAGATAAAAAACTGAATTTCTCTGAAAATTTCTGAATTTCTCTACATGTCTTAGAAACCCCCCAAACAGCACAAAATATTTGTAAAAGATTTACAAAATATTTACCAAATTTATTTGAATATTTTATAAATATTTACTAAAATGTTTCATAAATATTTTTGTGATTTTAAATATATCATAAATATTTATCATAAATATTATGAAAATATTTATTAAAATATATATACATTTATATACATTTATATACATTTTTCTCTCCCTGAATTTTTCTTAAATTTTCCACTTTATTGTTTCATACGCTACTTAATTCAATATAAATTATATTTCAAAAATTTGTTTACAAATTGCTGAGATTCGAAACTGAGACCTCTGGTTCTTGAGTCGTTCACCTTATCAACTGCACTACTGTCACTTTGACTGAGAGACGTTCCCTATACATATGATATATCCATATACGAAAACAAATGATTTATTTAAAAGAAAAGTACGTAAAAAATATATTTTAAAAATATTTACTTGTTTTAAAAGTAAGTAAAATGCAAATAAATCATTTTGTAATTTAAATTTAATTTTGTATTTCAATTTAAATATATTTTTTTCTGAAAATAAAAGAAACTTTAATTTGAAACACACGAAAAGATACTTTTAATATTATAAAATAATTTATTTAAATTTATAACATGATTTACTTCATTTACTTCATTTACTTTTTAAAACAAGCAAATAATTATTTAAACACAATTTTTACATCTAAAAAAACTAATTTTTCTCGCGCGCGTGCGCCTCTGTGTGTGTGTGTAAGGAAACCATTTGCTTATTCTTATACCAGGTGTAGAAGTATGAAACCGGAATTCCCCTATAAATGGTGCCAGCGTTCAGTTTAGTGACCGTAAGACCGCTACTGCCGCGCTATTATATTCTCCTAACAGCTGACGAATATTGTCAACAAACATAACCCCAACTTTCATTCTCTAGTATATTTTTGTATAACCTTAAACATGTCACGTTTCGAGCCTACTAACTATGATTTGCGGACAGCATTGATTTTCTGTTATCATTTAAAGAAAACTGCTGCAGAATCACATCGAATGCTTGTCGAAGCTTACGGTGAATATGCTCTTGGTAAATCTCAGTGTTTCGAGTGGTTTAAAAAATTCAAAAGTGGTGATTTTGACGTGAGGAACGA